AAGTTGCCATGTGTTGCTGGGTTACAGTGTTTAGAAGCCAATCGTACTTTACTGCAGATAACAAGGTGTAGAGCTGGATGAACACAGCAGGCCAAGCAGCATCAGAGGAGCAGGAAGGCTGACGTTTCGGGCCTAGACCCTTCTTCTGAAGAAGGGATGGCACAGCTGCACCCGGTTGCCTTCGACTGAATTTCTGCACATTTAGTAGATGCTTCTTTTTTCACGTGGTATCTGTCCGCGAGGCACTTAAACAAACCGCAAACTAAACTCACTATTACTTTAATATCTGAGCAAACACACATTGTTCCCTAAACTCTGCTTCTAGCAGTAATATGAGGTATCTTAGTCAAGAGTTTAATACTTTGGATTCCACTCTTTGGCACACCACACAAGGACTGGATTATTTTGTCCATCATCCCGGAACCTTGTTACTTGGCAACAGCAGATTTTTTTCTCTACGTCTTTTTTTTAATGTTATCTCCATTTCTTCACTTTAAAGGGCTGTAAAACCTCATTAAAACAAATACACATAAACAAACAAACCTTAAGATTTCTCAGCACTGAGAACGATTCAAAAATTAAACTTAAGCCACGTTCCTCTTTTTTAACACAAGTCTAAATGAAAAGGTTATACATTGTTACAAAAAAATAAAAAATGTAGATTAGCTAGATAATACAGAAGCAGCTTGATGAGCAGACAACTGGTCCCACCAGAGACAGAGACAAAGAAATAATGACTCCCATTTGAGGAAGTCACTGTTCAGTGATAGCCTCTGCCAACTACTAGCCACGGGAAAAAAAAACTTTATTCTCACAAAGTCAACCTAGAAGAGGGCTCGTAAAAGGGCTTCAAGAAAATTCCAGGCTCATGAAATTCAATTTTCAAACGGAAAAATCCACAGTTTATCTCCCAGTCTGAAACTGGAATTAAGTTTGTATTTCAGAGAAGAGCGCCCAAGGTTCTACACAGGCCAGGGATGAATGATCTGCGTAATCTGCTGTTTGTGGTAAATGGTTGACAGCCATATGGCCAGGTCACTAAAGATCTTCCTGATCTTGGTTGAATAGTACAATGAAGTCTTTCAGATTTACTCGAATTTGGAAATGCACTGTCTGTTTAATGCCTAATCCAAAAAAAAATGTTAAACACAAGTTTTACAGTCCACTACCACAGCTCGTCAAAACCCCATCCAGCAGTGCACTGTTGTGATTCAGGCTGTAGGCTATATTCCTGAATGCAGTAACAGCTTTAAAAATGACAAGGGAGACTGGAGCAATGATATTCCAATACCCCATGAGTACGCAGCTGTTTGGGGTGCTCTGGCCTGTGAATCTGAACTGGTTGATTCAAGCTCCATTTGACTACAAACTAGAATATCATAGGCCTAAAGGAGTGCTTCATCAGAAAAGGATGATTTTTTTTGACTAAAGTGCCTCCTTATCTGTGTGGATCTGATGATAAGATACTCGGAAATGAAGGGGCCATTGCGTCAGCATGGGACGGGGGGTGAGCCTTTGAAATGACAATAGCTTTCCATGGACCAATCCACTCAGTCCCAGTCTTCCAATGCCCAGGCTAACAATCTCCATAATCATGACATCTTCCAATGCGTAAGGCCATTCAACCCAGCACGCCTTTGCTACCTCTTTGAAAGAGCTATGCAATTTAATCCCACATCCTAGTTCTCCCATTTAACTGTTTGATATCCTGCAAAGTCTGACACCACAGAAGAAAAACAGGCTCGACATCTGATTCTTGTCTGCCGATTCATGGTTTTCATAAACCAGCTGCCACAAAAATCTAAAACCATGGGCAAGAGGCACTTCACAAGGCCGCGTTTCATTGGCTACTTTTATGGTTAGATTCTCCAGTGGCTCGGTGCCTACAACGTGAATTCCATTCCCATTGCTCATAGGATTCTTCATAAATAATGGAAGCGGTTCTGGGAATATTGTTCAGTTGTGGTTTTGCAAGGGAATGCAATGCTCATAAACTATGCCAAGAGACTCTTGTTCAGCTATCCCCTCACCCTTGATTGCAAATGGTCACAAATTTCAAAAAGATGCCGTGAGTACAGGGAGCCATTTTCTACCAAATATTCATTGTCCCAATGATCTCTTGAGTATGAAGGGCCAATGTTGACCTCATCAAGAAATACATTTAAAATATGAAGAATCACAAGGGCTGAAGATTTCATGAACAGAAAAAAAAATGAAGAATAATCCTACTTCATGGAAAGTTTACATTTCCCCCACTTTAAGAATATAAATGTGAACCTTTGTTTTTGCAGGACACTGCAATATTTGCCTTTATTTTTAAATCGTAATATCATAGCCCCACTTTCCAGCACATCCCTTCTTTCCTTCAATTACCTGAAAGATCCTAACCTAGATCTCTGTCTTGAATAAACTCAATGATGGAGCGTCCACAGCCCTCTAGCACAGACACTTCCAAACATTATTCCCAGCCATTTGGGCAGGGGTGGAAAAATTTCTCATTAGTGCAAAGTGGTCACCCCATTATCGTGACGTTGACCCTATAGCTGCAGGAAACACAATCTCCCAGCGTCTATCTTTGAATGTTTCAATGAGATTATCTCTCCTTCTGCTAAATTGCAGAGTAAAAACCCAATTTACTCAACTTTCCATCAGAGAAACCACTTGATCCCAGAAACCAACCCAGCAAACCTTGATTGTAATGTCTCTAATGTAAGTATATCCTTCCAGAAGTATGGAGGCTAAAACAGAGTACAATCCTTCAGTTGTGTCCTCACTGAAGCCTCAACTTCCTTATTCTTGCACCCCAATGCTCTTGCAATATTGGCAACATGCTCTTTGACCTCCTAATTGTTTGTAGTACTTGTGTGCCAACCTTCTGCTCTTTGTATCAGTCTACCCAAATCTCACTGCCCCACAAGATGGAACAGTATCACATCATTTTAAAAACATTCCTATCTCACTCCCCCATGTTATATACCATCCAACACTTTGTTACCCATTCACTTAGCTGGCTTGTATTTCATTGCAGCCTTTTTGCCCACCTCACACTTAAATTGCAGAGTGTCAATTACAGCACTGCAGGTTGACATTCAGCCCATCAAGTCTATACCAGCTGTCTGTGGAGCAATCCAATCAGTCCTACTTCCCTCCAAGTTCATTTCAATCAAGTGGCCATCTACTTTCCTTTTGGAATCAGTCAGCATCTCCACTTCCACCACCCTCGTGGGCACGGAGTTCCAAGTTTTTACCACTTGCCGCGTAAATAAAGTTCTTCCTCACATCCCCCTGCATCTCTTTCCCAAATCTTTTAAGTGTGTGGCCCTTAATCTTTATGCCATCAGCTAACGGGAACAGCATTTCCTCGTCCAACATACCCAAAAGGTGACATTACCTTGCACACCTCAATCAGATCACTCCTCAATCTCCACTGCAAAAAAAGAACAACCCCAGTTTCTCTTGCCCAACGTTGTAACCAAAGCCCCTCAACCCTGGAAACCATTCTGGCAAGTTTCCGTGGCACCCACATGAGGACCCTCACATCCTCAAGGAGTGTGGTTACTAAAACCGGATATAATCCACTTGAAAACCACAGCTATAGGTACGGCACCACTTCCCCGCTTTTATACTCAATGCCCACTCTCACAGAGTTTTATTCCTCTTACTCATCCATTGCGAAGGAAGGTCACATCTACGGTAATTCCAGAATGTTATACAAGCTCAGGTCTTCCGAATTCAATCACAACAAGTTGGAGAATACACAAATACACTTTGCATATTTAAGCCTCATTCCCTTCTATGTATCCCTGCTGGGGTGCAGCATTTAGTCCACAAAGTGACCAAGATTCAGGAATCAATTTCTGCAACATTAAAATTCAATGGTGCAATGAATGTGGCCCTTAACCTACTCATTAGGATCTCCATGGGTCAGGCACGTGAGGTGGTGGTGTAGGAACAGCATAAACAGCAGTAAATCTAAGCTATGCCACCAGGTAGGAAATCAATAGTACCTGACAGAACAGTGGCTTCTGTCTAATATTACACTCCACTGAATTTAACACAGAACAAAGTATGGAGGAGGACAAAATCAGCATTGAACCCAATCCACTCAGTTTCTGATGAGCTGGTTAGTGAGTTGGCTTCAAATCCCTCCTGACTAATGCCTCGCAGAGCTGATCTGCAGACTAAATGTTGTACGTTTGTCAGTAACAGTCTTGCCTCATTTTCCCAGGCAGTGTACAGTGGAGAAGCAAGTTGGATAGTGAGACCTATCCAAAACGGAGTGGAGGCTAACTGTATTGAAGGATTCAATGTTGAAAATATACAGGTGAAGAGCTGATAACACCAGCTCTTACATTTCCATTCAAGCACGGAACTGCTCTTGGGGATGAAAGAGATAATGTACATGTGGCTTTTTATCAACCTCAACTTTGTCAGATGAGTTTGCTCAACTTAACTTGACTGACAGGATTTCGTAAGTTACCCGCTTTCACGTTACTGAATGCAGTCAGCACAGTAACATTTGGAATAGAGCTTTTCACCTGCACTTTTCTCAATGTTCCAGAGTCCAGGAAAACTGGCCCTTAAAAAAGACAAGCAATTTGGTCTCAATTTTGTCTACATTTTTTCCATTTGCTGTTTTTGTGTCCCTTTGGTTTTGAAAAGGGCCGTTTCTAAGAACTGTAGCTCAATTTACTAAGTAAATCCTCCCACATGTTCAAACACATTTTACAGTGTCAAGATAACCCATTCTGTTGTGCCTTTCTGAGATGGCCCATTGTCTTGGAATCTTTCAATTAGCCTCATATCCAGGGGAATAACAGTGAAATTTTAAAACTGGCTTCAGGCCTTCAGATTAGATGATACAGAAAATGATATGTATTAAACTTTATAATATGTGCCGCATTTATTGAGAAGTGGTATTAATCATGAGCATAAAGCAAATGCCAAAATACTATCTTATTCGTAAACAGGAGTTGCAAAGTACAAGCCAAACAGTGAAGTCAGTTCTCGTAGGTCTTTATTCCATTTGCCAAACTCAAAGCACATATCGCCCTCCAAATGATGACATTTGAAAGTAATTTTGATATTGTTTCCCACATTTTTCACATACATACATGTACAAGATACACCAAGTGTTTTATTTTGGAAGAAAAAAGCAGTATACTTTGGTATTGTTCCAACTTAACAAGTGGAGTCACCCACTCCTGTACTATGCATTGCTGTGAGCAATTGCCTTGTTTGACCTCCCATGTTTCCTTTATTAAATGGATAGCAATGAAATGTCACTACTTACTGAGCCTTGGTCTCTGTCTGACTCCATTGGAAGTACACCAGACCATAAGAAACAAGAGAAACAAAAACCAAGTTAGTCATTTGCCCTTCAGCAAGTGTCATATAAAACACAATCCATTCACTTTGCTTCACAGCTACAACAGAAGAAATGTCAAACACTGAACAAGTCCAATTCAGCGCTTCAAAAGGTCAACCTATCTCGTATGCCATTTCCCAATGCAACATCCAGCTGATTTTTTTTCATTATATAAACATTCTTGAGGTATTAATGTATCTTGTGAAGGCAGCACACAAAATCTCTGAGCCAACCATCCAATTACAAAACTAGTCAATGCACACATCCAAAGCCCTGAACAGTTGGCTCCTGTACAGATACCCACACCTACTCACTGTCCAGGAGCATCCTTAATCAAGGATTCTAAACCTTATTCTAAACCTTGAAGCACACTGTCAGCAAAAGACATTCTTCCTCAACTTGCATAACATCCATTGAACTGGATCTTTTTCTTCAAATTCATGTTCAGGGTTTACTCTACGTTTTTTTTTGCAATCCAAAAATTCCCTGCTCTGAACTGTAGTTTGGTTTGCTTTCACTCTTTCAAGTTGCAAGAAGGTGGTCTTTTCTCAAAACTTGTAAAAACATTTAAAAACTTTCCTTTCTAAAAAAGAAGAAACCACCTGCAATTGATTACCAACAATACAGTTGTGTTCAACAGGAGATGTGTGAATAATATCTCGTGGAGTTTTTCTATTTTCTAATGATGCAACTCTCTCTCACCAAAGCTGGTCCAGTCCTTCCCCTTAAACCAAACAGTGCAGAAACAAGACATTCAGACCATTAAATCTTTTCCTTTACATAACCTGTAAAGAAGTCAACTCTTTTCCTCGTTCCCCAACCCTTCTAATACTCTTTCTTTTTCAATTGCCCAATTCATTGTCACTGGACTAGTAATCCAAACACCTGCGCTGATGCTTAGAAGTCATGGATTCAAATCCTATGGCAGAATATAAAAATTAACTAATAAATAAATATAAATCAATAAACTTTATTAATGAAGAGTATGAAAATGTTGATCATCATAAAAACCCCATCTGGTACACTTACACCCTTCAATAGAAAAAAATCTGCCTTCCTTACACAGTCTGGCCTACATGTGACTCCAGACCTATAGCAATGTAGTTGACACTTACATGCCCTCTGAAATGGCCTAGAAAACCAAATACATTCCAAGAATGAAATTTTAAAATTACTGCATGGGATTCAACATTCTAACCACTGTTCCAAGTCAAGAATTTCCAATTTAAGGTCATGCAAAAGTCTTAAACTTGCGCTCTCTCCTGAATACTGGAAAAGGAAGAGAAGAAAATTGAGCACTGCTTTACTCCATCAGAGTCTTTCTGGCGATTTGATGTCTCCTCTAGGTTACTCATTAACCACAGGCGTAGTTAAGAAAAAGTCCCAAATTCTCAAGTTTCTCATCATAACTGCATTTTTTTCATCCCCAGTAACATCTTTGATGATTTAATCTGCCTTTGTCAACTGCTTTTAAATTTTTGTTATATATTGTGGTCCAAACAGCTGCCACCATAGCCATGGGTCTTACATGGACTTAACTTGATTTTCTTGTTTGTATTGTGTGCCTGTAGCCTGACCCATTTGCAAGGCCAACTCTTGCGGTCTAATGATTCACAGGCCAAGATTGCTCTCTCCTCCTCGACGCTATTTAAAAACTGCAATTCGATGGACCTTGTTTTCCTTGCTCTGGTTTCTGAAAAGTGCGACTTCTCATCTTTCTATTGTCAAAGTATCCTGAAATAGGCTCTTTTCCAAAGGAATGTTTGTTAGGTAAAAGGATACAGGCATTTAAGGTCCCAACTCGAATGAGGTGCATGCAAAAACATGCCCCAAGAACTCACTCTGTGGAACTTGTATCTACTTGTAGCAGGAGGGGCAGTGTTATGGGAGCTGTCTTCTGCAAATATTAATCACCTATTCCCAGCTTAAACTCTCAGAGACTGTGGGAGCCTGAATTTACCAATAACTCCCAAGAAGCCTCACATTTGGAATTTTCTCAGGTTTTTCCTCCCAATTGCCTGCAGTATCTTTGACACAGGATCATACAACTGATTTCCAGTGAAATTGTAGGAATGACTGAAAGAACATGAGGAAATTCTGTGATATTCTTGGTCACGTTAATAATAATGGCCTAATAAAACAGTTGATCTTCAGGGGATTGATTAACTCAGTGGGTCAGTTTATTTGAAACAGTAAAGCACATTACAACTTATGAAACAGACATCATTGCAAACAGACAGATTTGTGCGCATGCAGCTCACAAACACAAAGCAAACTAATGCTAGGCAGAGCTGCACATTGTATACACACAGCACACGCAGCTGTTGAAAGGTGAACTCTCTCAAAGACAAGGGAGGCGTATTATACGTTGATTACAGGAGCTAACAGTACAACAAGAAGCAAGGAAAGACTCCACACATCACAAAGCTGTTAACTAACAGGATAATTTTTTAATGCTCTCAGCACCTAAACAGCAGGTAAATAAGTTTACCTCGTCGATGCTCCGGATCTTGATGATTCTTGTCTTCTTTCAGCGCAAACGGGGGATGAGCTGCAAGTGCGTTGGACAGCGCCAGAAGACCCGAGCTGGCACCAATGGATGACATGGCAGGAAGTTGCAGGCCTGATGGGTGGAGGGCAAGTGGGAAGGGAGATGCATGATGTGACAGCTGTTGGGGTTGAAAGTGGTGCTGTTCCAAAAGGGGAGGAAACAGGAAAATAAAGAAAGAAAAAAAACAATACAGATTGTAAATTAAATCCAGCAGCACATTTATATCTAACTCTTACAACAACCAAACCAGCAATGTCCCTGCAACACACAATTTTGGAATTTATATCATAGAGATCATAAGTGCTTCTTTATTGGAACAGGAGTAGAATTTTATCAATGGAGAAAATGTAACGTAGGCCAGCATCTCCCCCAGTGAAGGAATCTCTGGCTCATCATTTTGGGGAGAGGGTTCAAATGCCATTTTTGGTTTTCAGCCATTTTCAAATAAAAAGGTGTATACTTCTTATAACATCGCAAATCAATACAGGACTGCATTAGGTGCCATTGCTAAGATGTTATCAATTTTAACAAGTGCTACAGAAACTTAAAATCTTGAATGAAAAATTAACTGAATGAATACAGTCAGCTTAAACTAAGAGCTTCCCATTTGCTTGCACAATCTAGAGCATAAAACCATCTCATTTCTTCTGACAGACATTAATATATATTTTTCAAACTGACCATTCTGTACAGTTCAGGCAAATATTTTGGGACGTTTTCTTAATGTGGTCCCTTAAGAACTAAACACATGTGGTCTCTTTTAGGTGAAATTAAATAGACCATGTACAGCATGCTGAATGCTAACAAGAAGTCTGCTTCATGTTTCTGGTTGCTGAAATAACGCTTTAAATAATCTCAATAAAGGAAGTAAGGGAAAGGGGCAAGTGGGAGAGAGTGGTAGGGAGGGAAAATAGTGGAAAAGGAAAATGATGCAGTTAATACACAGAAATCTATGCTTGGATCATACACAGATTCACAGTTCACTGAATTTCAACTTCTGTTATTTTGACCCATGTCAGTCACCCAGTGGGCTCAAGTCTGCTCTTAATTATTTTTAGGAAGCCCATTTAAAATGAGACTTCACTAGCCCGAGGCTCCTAGAAGCCATTCTTTTTCTCTTCTGCACGGTCCCCTTCCTTATACCGGCCTTGGTGCTGGAGCTGCTGTCATCAACACTCCCTCAAGATGATTGATGGTATCCAGATGTTTGAAACCACACAAAGTCGAAACAAGCTTCAGAACCAAGGAGGGGGTAGGGGAGTGGGAAGTATAACCACATTTGCTAGGCCAGAAAATAATTGCAATGACAACTCAGCTAAATGAGAGCAGCAAAAGAAACATGCATACTAACGCGTATTTGGGTTGAGTCTTGTGGCCTCAAACTAACTGTTTATCAATTACTACCACACTCTGACTCCGAGACATTCTAAAAGGAAACTCTCTCAATCCCAAACTTTGGCAGCTTTCCAAAAAAACAAATATGGGATAACTATCAGATTCTGCTTCTTATCCACCCTCCCCCAAACACGTCTTGCATCTGTACAGCAGATTTTGATCTTCCAGAGCTCCCCTGTGTAATATATATCATACCTACTATATCTCAAATAACTTCAGACGACAAAGCAAAACCCATTATAGCCTCTACACACAAGTTTAGCGAAGGATTTTGATCCAAGTCTTGGCTGTTCAACACAAAAGGCCAAACAAATGGTAAACAAAGGAAGGAAGTTGAAATTGAACTCTTGCCTTGCCATCAAAGGAATTGATGAATGGGTCAAAGATCAGTCAGGAAAAGGAAAAAAATACGACCAATAAATCTACTGCATTTTTAGCAAACTTTGATTCAGACTTGACAATACAAAATATAAACAATATTAAGAGGTTGGATTTGAATTAGGGATTTTCCGCTACATACAACTTTACAGAAATAAAAAAAACATTTGGAAAACACTGGAAACTGTGAATATTTCTTCAAAACCACCTTCCAAACCCACGATCTCTACCTCCTAGCAGGACAAGAGCAGCAGATTCATGGGAACACCATGAGCTACAGTCACCCCTCCAAGCCACACAGAACCGGACTTGGAACTCTAATCACACATCCTCGCTGTAGCCAGGTCAAATCCTGCATCTCCCTTCTCATCAGCAATCTGGGTGTACCTACACCACATGGACTGCAGGATTCAAGAAGACAGCTCACCTCCACTTGCTCACAGACAATGAATACTGGCGAGCCAGTGACATTCATATCTTCTGAATGAATGAAACTAGTTAAAAAGTCTGCTGTTATTTCAAGCATTTACATTTTCAAATGCCCAAACTGGAAATCTAAAGATGCACCTTCACATTTAATTTTTCGGAAAGTTAAGATTAAACTTTCAAAGCCCATTCTATGTGCAGCACTGTGGCTCAGTGGTTAACACTGCTGTCTCACGGCACCGGGGACCCAGGTTCGATTCCACCCTCTGGCAACTGTCTGTGTGGAGTT